AAAAAGTTATCTTGAAAAATATTATTTTGAGATGATGGTTTTAATAAATATTAATGAAATCTCCCTTAGGGTAGGAGATTAAAACATAAGACAATGCTTTCTGGAAAGATTATTATGGATTTGCTAAACTTAAATAGGCTCATAATGCAGAATATGAGCTAAAGTTAATGCTCTTATACAAAAAGTTCAATTGAAAATAAATATATAATGGAAATAATTTACCAAACAGTATTTTAATTAGTATTATTACAATAGGTAATATATATTCAAATCTAATTGAAGAAGATTTTATGATTCTATTTATCAAATGAATTGATTTGCACTGCTGTGATGAAATGATATGGCGACAATGATGAAGAAATGGATTCAGAATTTATAAAATTCAGAAAAAAATAATATTAGAATTAAACAATTTTTATCAGAGTAATCGCAACAAAATCTCCCAAAAGATATGAGATTATATTATTTAAGATTCACAAGATCTCTTAGAAGAATAAGAAATCATATTTAAAGTAATTATTAAATAAAGTGATAGATGTTGAGCAATTGTATTTTATTCATCAGACTAATAAAACACATAAAAAATATACTTATTGTATTAAAATATTAATTACCTGAATCTTAATTTAAAAGAATTTGTAATTTGGATATTTATTAAAAAAATGCTTATGCTAAATCTATTTTTAAAGCTGATTTTAACAATCAACTAAAAGAAATTAAAAGTTATAATGCAATTCTTCAGATTAATAATAAATATTTCAATTTAACATCTACTAATCAAATAAATTCGAAATAAGCATATTTATAACATAAAAGCAGCCATAGGTTCAAATATATCATCATTCGCAATAAATTTCAAACAAAATATGCCACTCACGCATCATTTAAGCAGGAAATCTTATTCGATTTCATACAAGGATTACGAAAATAATTACTAAATTCAACATTACATTAATAAAAAATAGGAAAACAGACTCAAAACTAAAAATATCATAATATCTATCAATTATTTAAAATATTTTAATTTGTAAACCACTATCAAGGTTACAATTAAAATTTACCTGTTGATTATTGAATTTAATGTCATTTTTTAATCAAAAGGAAGAAAAAAGGTTGAATTTATCATTCTAGATTCCTAAGTACCATAAGTAAAAGACTCATATTTAACTCTTGTGAATATTGGATTGCATTAAATTCTTAGATCGTGGATTATCAGTTGCTTAAGTAAGGTTTGAAAATCCCAATGAGAAAAGACTGAATATTAAGAACCAAATCTCAAGTCTCCTTTTAAAAAGTTTGAAAACCTTTAGAAATTATAGATGATAATTGCTCTAAAAAGCAGGTTTCAATTAAATATCTTGATAAAATACTTATTCTTCCTTAAGATTGGAGAACAAACTTAATTGATGTTTAAAGATTGGATTAATTTAAACTGTAACAGGAGTTCATGAAATGCCAGTTGATTATTGAATAACTTCATAATATAAGTAAAAAATGAAGAGATGAAAATTAATTAAGGATATATACCATCATCAAGTTGTCACTTAATTGATAAGGAAGACTAAGTTTTTGAATAGCAATATGATATGTGAGATGTGTTGGCTTTATCATAAAGAATTAAAGAATGAAGATTCTCTGTAATTACAAACACAAAAAGGAAAAAATGTTTTGATTGTATCAAATTTCTTTCAAGTGGTAGTAATCAAATACTGATAATATATAATTTATTTGTAAGTAACAGTGGTTGAGAATTTTAATAGACAGCATCTAATATTCTATAAAAAAATATTTAGAGCTTGAAGAAAAAAATAATGAAAAGCGTGTTCCAATTATTAATATCATTAAAGAAGATGAATTCAATATTCTTAATTTTATCTTCTATGAATTTATTTTGGAAACCATAACCATTAACTTTGTTATTATAATATTTTAAATATTTTTTCATTTGCGAGTATATATTATGAATTGTGTGTATATTAATTAATATAAATAAATAAAAAATAAAAGATTTGTAGATGTCTTTGGAATAGGAGAGGAAGGTTTGTTAAAAACATTAGATGGAGATAACAACAATTGATTTAAAGTAATCAACGAGTAAGGAGGAGAAATACCTTTGTATAAAGTGTTTAATAGAGAAGATTGATATATAAAATATGGTTTTGGT